AAAAAACAATTTCTTGTTGTCCTTTACTTGGGATGCCATCCTCAGCTCCATGGTAGCTTTGGCCTGTCTAACTGCCTCCCTACAAGCGCGAGCAGAGGAGGTATACCTCCAGAATTGGTGATCTCTCCCTGTTTCCACTTTTTATTTGCTCCCCTTTTGGCCCTTAGGCTGCCCTGGATTTCTCTGATCAGCCAAGGAAGCCTCCTTTAATCGCCTGAGTTCATTGAAATCAGCTTTCCTAAAGTCTAGCACTTTCACCCTGCTAGTTACCTTACCCACTCGACGTCTTATGGTGAATTCTACTATTAGGTGATCGCTGTCCCCGAGATGGCTACCGATCTGTAGGTCCCCTATCATGTCATCCCCCATTACCAATACCAGATCCAGTATGGCATTCCCCCTAGTGGGACCGTGTACCTCCTGTGTCAGGTGGAGGTCCTGTACACAGGTTAGAAACCTGCGTGAACGGTGGGACTTTGCCGTCTGCGTTTCCCAGCAGATGTCTGGGTAGTTTAGGTCCCCCATAACTACTGCATCTTTAGCTTTTATGGTCTCCGAGAGCTGCCTCAGGAGCCCTGAATCTATTTCTTCCCCTTGGTATGGGGGTCTGTAGCAGACCCCTACCACCAAATCCCTTTCTCCTTGCCCCCCATGTAGCCTAACCCACAATCCTTCTACTTCCTCATCCTTGGATTCCGTCTTGATGAGGGTCGATGTATATTGCTCATTGACATAGAACGCAACCCCTCCCCCTTTTTTCCCCACCCTGTCCTTTCTGTACAACCTATAGCCCTCAATATGTACTGCCCAGTCGTGGGATGAATCCCACCAGGTTTCCGTTAGCTCTACTAAGTCATAGGTGTTTTGTGCAAGCAGGAGCGCTAGTTCATCCTGCTTGTTCCCCATGCTCCTAGCATTAGTATATAGGCACTTTAGCCCTACGACTGGTGCCTTTGCTGCCGCCCTGCTCCGAGTCCCAAGGGGCCCCTTATTTCTTACCTTCTCGTTGCTTACCTGTCCTTTAGTGGTACTTACAAGGCATGTACAAGGCATGTTCTTGATAGCCTACCCCTAGCAATAAGGTCAGTAGTTTAAAGAGTGCATGATTCTACTTAGACCTTGCTTGCCTCAGGCCTGACTTTGAAATGAACAGAATGAAATTAAAATAATGGGCTGACTGTTGCATCTTTTGGGAATAAAGTTGATTCCAGTATGTGACATCTCCGGTGTTTTGCTACTGCATGCACAGGTTAAAATGCTGATCCCTACACTAAAAGTTACAGGTTTTAGTAGCAATATAGGATTTTCTAGAAACAGAAAACATTTCATTCCTCCCTCCATAATCAACAGCAGGAGTAAAAGAACACAATCTAAGCAAGACTAAGATCTTCCAGGGAAGACTTTATAAAAAAGGGCCTATCTACTCCCTATAAGCATTAAATGTTCTTCTACTTTTTGGGCATGTACCCATGTTGCCCTATGATGACATTGTTACTGCGCCGTGCTTCAGTACTTCCTTTTAGTACTAAGGCACAGTGCAATAACTGCCCGTACTGCACTGTGTGCACAGTGCACAGTTAGTTTTAGCCACTACTTCGCCATGTGAACACGCTAAAACAGGGGAGTGTGCCACGATGGCGAAGTAGCTGCTGGTCACGTGTAGACTCATGTGATCACTTCATCACCGCAGCATGTAGTATGGGGATGTAGCACATCAGTACGGCAACGTAGGGTGACATGTAGACACGGCCTTTTTCTACACTAGAGGTTTACTCGGTGTTCTTGTTTCAAATACATTACCCTTTCCCCATCAGGACTCGCAATAGAGATGATACCTTTAATTAGATCAACAAGATTTTTGCCAAAAAAAATCTTTAATTGCAAGCTTTCAGGCACAAACACCCTTCATCAGGCATTGGAGAAAAGATTGTAAAAGTTCTCTTGGGTAGCACTACCCTTTTCCATGCTGTTTTATAGCATTTTGTATCCTATAGAAGCAGCAAGCACATCCTGTCTCAGAGGCAGTTACATTTTAGTGGCATTTTGGCATTATTTAGTTGGGGAAATACTCTGGGGTCTTTTCAGTATAATGTTATATAGAAAATGTAAAATGTTACAGTTAATTATAGTGTAATTATTGCTGCCTATCAACAGTGAAGCACCCTGAATACTTGAAAGATGATATGATTGCTGTTTTATCAGATGAAGATGGGAATTCGTTGCTAAAATATGATGTTCTAAGAGAAGGTTAGGGGTTTGCTGTTTCTCAGACAGAAGTACATTATGAAACAGTAAAATGTGATTCTTTGCCAAGGGTGCACTGCTTCTGTCTTTTGATAAGAAGAAAAACACTTGCATTTGAAATATTTCTTTTGCCAGTGGCCAACAGTATAGACTTACAGATAATGAAAAAGAAGAGCTTTCTGTAGTAGGGGAAATCTGCATTCATTCTCTGTTCAAGACCCTGTTCCATATTATAGAACACCAAGTCAACTTAACATAACACACCTGTTTGCTGAAAGCTGTTAAAGTCTCTAAGGAAGCTGATGATGTAGCATTGATGAAATGCCTTCCCTAACTAAAACTGCTTCTTTTTGTAGAGTGGCTTCACACCTTTACACATAGCTGCACACTATGGAAACGTCAATGTCGCAACACTTTTGCTCAACAGAGGAGCTGCAGTGGACTTCACAGCCAGGGTATGGAGAAACCTTCTTCTCTTCTTAGATGGGATGCTCAGTGAAAAAGGGATGGTAACTTTGTTTACAATTTACATCAAAAGCAGGGTGCAAAGCAAGGTGCAGGTAAAATTTTACCCTGTGCTTAGATGTCTTTTTGCACAAATCTCTTTAACAGGAGCTTCTGGGCACTGAAGCAGAATGTTCAGACATCAATGGCAACACATTTTTATTCCAAAATGGAAAGTATTTGCCTTTGAATATGCCCAGGATACAAATGTTTATGTTGTGTTAACTCATTTAAAGTTTCTTGCCCCCATCAACTGTATTATAGATATGTATATAATATTCACAGTCTTTTCCCTGTCCTGTAAATTTTCAGCATTTATCAGAGTAAGTTGATTTTACCTTTTCAGTGTACACTTCTATGTGAATATATATATAAAGTACCATACATTGTACGTGTGTACATAAAACAGAATATGAATACTGAAGAATTAAAAGTACTCTTTGAATGAAAAACATCTGTAGAGCTTGGATCAGAATTTCTCAACCAGGGTGCCAGGGCACCCTGAGGTGCAGCAAGATCCTTTGAAAAGTATATAGGAAGTGTGAGGAGATAAATGAGGTGTGAGGAGATAAGCAGATCAAGCTCTTCCTGCTTAGCTGCTCCCCAACCCTCACTGCCTGGCCTCTTGGCAAGGAGGTATGCACTGTAATAAATATATTTACTTTTGAAATTGGGTGCTGCTTGATTCACAAAAGCTATGCAGGGGTACCTTGAGTCTGATGAGGGTGCCTTGAATCTAAAACGGCTTAGAACCACTGGCTTAGATAATACAATCTATTTATACAGTACATACAGTACAGTACATATTTGGCGTAAATCGTCTAGTATCAAAAAGGTACCTGATATAAATATGTGTGTGGCTATCTCCACTTAATCTTTTGTTTCAGTTGCATTGCCAGGGGTCTAATTGAATTCTTTTGTGAAGGACTGCCTTTTGGAAAGATCTTATGTTTATGCTGATATCCTCACTAACGTACATTTTCCCTACCTGAGATGCCTGCAATTAGACAATTTTTCTGCCTAATTAGGACCTGACTTTTGACACTGACTTTGTTATGCTAATGAGTTCCCTTTGTGCCTAAACTAACATGCTGTGCATGTTGCAGTGATCTAAATGTATCATTGTGCAGTGAATATTAACTAATTGAGGCTTTGATGTATGGTTATTTATCTGTCTTACTGTGAGATTGTGATGTTTGGTGTTTGGGCAAGTGTGCTTCTTTGTTACCCAAAATTCAGAAAAGGTACATGTCTAAAAAAAGCCTTTCTAAAGAGCTGTAACTCAAATGATGTGTGTACCTAGCTCAAGTTCATCCTTGTTTATTCTCTATACTTATTTATGTTCCTCTCTTTTGTGATCCAAGGACAGAGTCATCCCCATTATACACTTCAAAGTCCATCATACTCTTTGTTTGTTCTTTTCATGGTGTAGAATGGAATCACCCCACTGCATGTGGCTTCCAAAAGGGGAAACACAAACATGGTGAAGCTCTTGTTGGATCGTGGAGGGCAGATCGATGCCAAAACCAGGGTGAGTGTTTCTGTTCCCTGAATATTGTGTTATCACTAATATGTGGGGTTTTTTAGTCAAAGGCTGGGAATGCCAACATTCAAAGTTGGTGAAATTGTGCTTCATTGATAGTGCCTTTCCTGACTTTTCTTCAAAAAGTGAACAACTAGATGCCAATATTTCTATATTTTCTTGCATACAGCATGCCCCAGAAAATTTTTTTTTCCAGAATTATGGCTCCACGGAGCAGAGCTTAAACTTCAGATGACTCACCCTCCCTTGTCTGCTTAACTAAAGCTGAAAACCTAGCTGTTACTGAAGACATCATGGATGGATCTATGCTTTTGAAAAGAGCTAAAGAGTTCTCAGGTGTATGAAACAGGAGAGAGACCAGGAGCAGCCAGCATAGAGCAAAATTGCCCTGAGTAAAGTTGCCTTGATTAATAGAAAGTGAAGACCAATTGCTAACACTTGTGGAGTAAAGGGGAATGAGCCATTTAGCCCATTTATTCCCTCAGCTGCCTGAATACTAATACCACAACTACAGCGTTCTGTAGCAGGGATCAAAGCAGGGTGCTTCTATCCTGAGCAAAAAATCAGCTTCCCCACATAAGACCTCAGTTTGGAGGAGGCTGTTGAATTAGGAGTGGGGAAAAGTGTGTGTTGTATACAAGAAAATACAATAGATATCACTCGAGAGAAAATGCTTAGGTGACTATAACTCAGAACTGTTGAACAGTTTCTTGGCATAATGAAACCTGTTTTGACACTTGTCCAGATTTTCAAAGGTAGCTCCAATAATTTGTTAATAAAAATATCCTAGGGAGTTATTTCATATTCAAAATCCTACTTTTGTATTTAAAGATAGTGGTTTGATCTAAGGGAAGATTTCTCCAACCGTTTACATGTCATACAGGGAAATGGGGCCCTAAAGGCACTCTCTAAGTCTGCTGTGCAGTGTACCTTGTACCTGTATCATAGGTTACCCAATGGGAAGAGGCACACAGTCCTAGTGAGCCCACTGCTCATCCCCACCCTCAGTACCGGTGGGTGGAGACTGGTTTGAAATTTTGGCTTAGCCCAGAAGGCATTAGCCACCAGTTAATTCAGTTTTGTGGAAGTGAGTGGTCTCTTACTGGTCTGTATCAGCAGCAAACCTTTTCCCCCAAAGGAAGTGGGGAGGGAACTACAAAGAGACTTGAACTCATACTTTCTTTTCTGATCTGCACCTGGGGCAGCAAACCTATAATTTACCCCTTAGGCAAGGTTGATTTTTCCAATCATCTCAAAACAGCAGGCATGACATAACAGTTTACAGGGGAGGGAGGCTTGATTTTGTCAAATTGCATTTTTGAGTAATTTCTGAAAATGTAGTTCTTTGTGCTAACGGATCACTCCTCTTTTTCAAACAGGTTGCTCCCTGAAACAATTGGTCTGTTCTTAAAGAACTGTGCCTTTGCAAAAAATTGTTACTGTGTTGTTCATTCTCAATATGGCCAGCAACCAAAGGCAGGTTAAGATCATGTCAGACCTGAGCCTAGATTTTGAAAAGCCCGGTGTTTGGACGTTAGAATCAGGGCTTTATGTTTGACCGGTATATATGTAAGAAACATTTGCGTTCATATCATGAATTGAATTTCCAATATCACTCCAAAGTTCAGATGAAGTTTGGATACAAAAGTTTGATTGGACTCTTTCTTAGCCACAGTATGATCAACATTGGAAAGCCTAAAACAGTGGCAGCCATTTCAAAACCTGTATAATCCTAATAATCTCTGTTGCATTTTAGAATATATTGTTCACAATAAACAGCTCTTCAGGTTGCTTCAAACCCTCCACTGCACTGTAGCCATAAATTAATTTAATCGGCTATCTACTGCTTCATATGCTACAAAGGCAATAACAATTATCTTATAATTAAGTGTATGGTTATGATTTGATGTGTGAGTCTGTAAGGACGTGTGGCACAATGATCTATGTCTATACAGTTTATGAGAAAATGTTACCATTTGTGATGGGGGGTGGATAAATTATTCAGGGGCAAATTATCCAAAATTTGTATCTAAAATATGTGGGTAAAACATGCACAATCAAGATATAAAATGGTAATTGTGTACCACAAACAAAATATTTGCAAATAGGCATAAATTGGACAGTTATGTGCAAATGCTGTTTCATGCAGGGAATTATGATTTTCAATTCAGAGTGATGCATACACATTTCATGCACAAAATTTAGGTTTGGAAAATTGGCTTAAAATATTTCTAAAAGGAACTTTTGAATAGTTTTGAGAATAGCATCTCGTATTTTATAGACTCAAAATACATTTCTAACAGCTAGGTTTAAGTGTATGCTGAATGAACCCATACAAATAGGACATACAATTTCCTTGAAAGGATCTATCTTTAGGAGAATGGCCATTTTCTTGGCTTATTGTCCCCTGTCAGTTTGTAGATTAGCGCAAAACTCCTGGCATGGAGTCACTGGTGAAATCTTCAAAGTATCCCAAAGCACATATGCTCTTATTTGCACAGTTAGCAGCTTCACCTTGCTTTCATTTTCTACCTTCTCACTTCTCAAAGACATGCTGGAGAAGGCAGCTGTGTGTACTTCACAGTGTGGGAGATTCCAGAGCTTTGGTTTTGTTTTTCAGCGTGTGTCTGTGGCGTGCTGATGTCCTCATGCCAGCTTTTTATATGGTCTTGGTGTCTCTTTCTTTTCCCTTTGCTTTGTCCGCATGCCTTGTGCTTTGCTATGGCCGTGAGTATGTAGGGTAATGAAGAGGTAGGTTGTGTGTTGCATGCAATGCATATATGTGTATTGTACTGTAAAGGAAAGACTTCTGCCTCCTCTTTGTTGGTACTAACATGCTTGCACCTCCATATGTTCCTTTCCATTTATCCTGAGAAGTATTTACATTTTTGTAGCAATTCAGGGTAAAAATGGGAAGTAGTCAAATGAAATGCATTAGGATATTTCATCTAGCAGCTTGGGTCTTTATATTTGGTTACTGTGTCACATTAGAACAAGTTCTATGGCTTTGAAAGCATTCATTAATTTAATTCATTTTATTTTTCAGTTTTCTTCACTACATGGCATTTGGTGATACATAAATCAAAAAGGGAAGGTTAATTTTAATAGATTTTAAAGTCTCAAGTACTTTATACACTGCACAACAGGCACTTGTTATGGTACAATTATGGTTTTAAGTATTTGGAAACGTTCTACAGAATGAATTCCTCTGGAAGTTCTTACACTTGTATCTAAAAAATAAATCTTTAAAAATTAGTAATTTAAGGGAGTGTACTAGAACTTTGATAGGTGTCACTGGTACATATACATATACATTTACATATACATAATTCTCAATACCATTATGCTTTTGCATCGGAGACTGAGGTTTTTAAAAGAAAAAATATATTCTCAGGAATTGCAAATAGTATTTTCTGCTTGCAATAGAGATATATATAACTTTGGGGCGTAATATGCTAGCAAAGATACTGATATTTTTTCTTTAGTATTTTGTTTGTATAATATCCCATTTTTTCACTGCAAAGTGGGGGGAAAAAGGGGAGAGGGAGAGACAAATAACATGTATTTGGGGGGGGGGGTTATTTATCTTTTTGACCCTTTTATGCAATGCTACTCGCATGTCTTTACCATCCTAATGGCATTTCCTTATTTATGTCACATTATAATATCATTCAAAGGCCCCTGCTACACATTACATATATTATACAATTTACTGGTCAATCACACGCTAAATTTAGAACAGCCACCTATGCAAAGTAATTATCACACCAAAAAATAGCCATCCATCTTTAAAAAGAGCCAACAAGCTATAAAGTTAATGCTTGAAAATGTGTAATAACTGTATAGCCGGTTTCAACAGCTTTCATTTGAATGTGTAGGTGGGCCCTAACAATGGTAGATGAACAAATTCACCTGTAATTGTCTAAAATGTTGTTCAGTTGCATTAGCTTCAATTTGATGTTCTTGGGTATGGGAGGTATTATGCTCTGTTATGAATGTATAGCTCCTAGTACATTGTGACACAATTAGAATAAAAATAAATAATAATTGTACTTCATCTGGACAAAATCCAAAACTTTAAATATTAGAATATAATTAGACAAGATTACTTGGTCCAATAATTTCCCTTAATTGGGTGTTGTAGTTATGGAGCTCATCAATATTGGCAGTCTTCCCCCTGAACATTGCCAGCTCCCTAATTTAACATTTGCTTGGTTAGGAATTTTCCTTTTTAGAGTCATCTCCACAGGTAAAAATTCTGGACATTGTAGACAAACAGTACTGCACCATGGCTTTTGGGTTTTGCAACTTGGTATCAAAGATAGGGAGAATGGAGAGCCTGTTGGGAACGGGTAGTAAGTAATACTGATATGCTTTATCATCTACCATAAGGGTGGAGAGTAGAAGTGCTCATGGTTGAGCATGTTAAGCGAGGCACTTGAGAACATGTTAAATGAGAGAGAACTCGGGTGTTGAAGGGAAAGGAAGCCAATGAGAAGCTGGCAGAAGTGTATAAATATCACACAGAATTACGAGTCTCCAGGAAAATCACAACTGAGGAAGAGTCATAAAAGTGACGTCAGAAAAGGTAGTAAAGGGACTCACGCACTTTGGATTGAGAGTAAACCAGGTTCTGAGAATCATTCACATTTTCCTCAGTACAGATTAAACTTGGAATCTGTTGAAGGTCGCTCTTCAGTTCCTGTCATGAGGCAAACTTTTAGATCAGGAAAGGATTTCTACCATAATAGGGCTGTCATGATTTCCTATCAGGAAACCATTGTGATAGGCTCTTAACGCAGTTGCTCTGCACTATATTCAAATTATTTTATTTTATTATCTATTCTTTTATTTTTATGCTTCTTTTCCCAGCAAAGGCTTAGGGGGGCTTATGGAAAGAGAAGTGAGTGAATCGGCGACTGGTGCCGCCTTTGTCGGGGGGGCACGTGTCCCACCTGCAACCAGTCCTGCTGACCGGAGGGTGGGGT